ACAACAACAACAACAACAACACGCGCCGCGCCAAGCTACGGTAATCATGCTCCCGCAAAAAAGCACATGCCATGCAAGCAGGAGGCTGGAACCGATAATGAGGACCACCGTGCAGATGCACGCCAGGATGGACCTTGCCTGGTCAAGGCTTCTGCACTGTAGACTTGAAGTACATATAAGTGTGTATGTGCATATTATGATTGATCTGACCGAGCGTGCGAGCGAGGGAGCGACAGAGAGAGAGAGAGAAGATGACATGCAATAATATGTTACCTGTATTAAACGCAACATGACATGTGATGTGTGTATATATAACACACAATATACCACAAAGGCTTAGTGACAAGTACACTCCTATGTCCCTGAGGCTACAGATCTCGGCCTGCAGCGAGGTGCACGTGCAGAGCTCCAGGCATGTTGACTCAACCCTCAGTGGCCAGCTGTCAAAGTTGGACATTTCCACATGCGTGACCCATGAACATGCACAAGAAATTGCATTGCCAAATCTTCCAGCTTTCTTTCCGAAGCTCCTGCTGAGAACAGCTGGGTCTCCGATAGCTTGGCTTGCATGTCGCTTCGTTGGGGCTTGCAAGGGGCCGAGCACATTACTAATACGTGAACCTTCTAAAGGGCAGCTGGTGCCCTCACCAACGAACTCGGTGAGACATGGAAGCTGCCGCCCCAGCATATAGTCCCACGTCTACAGCAACACCTTCCTTTGTCCATCGTCCACATGTCGTGTTATGCTCTCAACTTTCAGCCTGGAAAAGGCGGGCCGAAGGTGCTGCAAGTGCTGATTGGATCCTTCAGCTTTCTCAGCTGCCACAGGTCATCCAGGTGCAGCAACAGCCCCCTCAGATGTGAAGCATATCCAGAGCGCAGGCCACACTACCATGCGGCCTTGCAAAAAATCGCAGGAAGATTCGAACTACTGCTCCGATTTTTTCCCAGGCCGGGACGGTGTCTCTCTCTACCCAACCTCGGAGCGAAAGAGTCTGAAAACTTCGCAGATCCAAGGCAATCACCAACAGCAGTGCAGAGGCCCCGCAACTTGATTGTCGATACTCTGCAGGCATTCGTACATCTCCAGCTCAACAGACGCAAGCATTCCTCCGCCCAGGTTCCTGGCGTGAATCCCGGAACACTCCTTGATGAATCGGTCGTGGAGCGATTTGGCCTTGGCTGTTCGTGCAAGCTGGGCTCTGACAGACAGCTGATGGCACCCTGCAGAGAAGGTCGCGGCCACAAAGTAGGATTGCACGAGACGCGAGTGGGATATGCGTCTCCCCAGTCACAGCAACATTTTCACCGCTTGGCTTCTTCGCTGAGATCATTGAAGCTAGCTTCAAAGGCACAGTGCCGGGAAGGTCTCAGGTCTAAGGAACCTTATGCAGTCCGCTGTTACGTAGTACAGGGTCCCCGGTCCCTTAAAAGCCCAGGCAGCTGGCCAAGAGTCATGTTGACTGCAAGCTTTCCCCAAGGAGTCTGACGATTAATTTCGGAGGGGGGGAGCGGCCCGGTTTACAAACACAGGTGTGTGCGACATACCTTGTCGGCCGTGAGACCATGAAAAAAAGCCCCCCCCCTCTGCTTCCTCCGACGGTGAATGTCGGCGACTGTTCTCGAACCACTGAGTTTGTGACACTGCGAGCTCGAATTCCAGAAGCATCACACTGACAAAATCACCCTCAAAAGCCTCGTGTGCGACTATGACCACAGCCTTTGGCAGCCCTGTTTAAGCCGATGATGTCCCTTTCGGATGAACTTGGATCCGTCATCCCACGTCGATAAACAAGGTAAGTGTCTGACTTGCCGCCCCTTTGTTGTTGAAATTCGGGAAACCCGCGAAGTTGGATGTTCTGTTCTCAGAACGGATTCGACCAGGGACGTCATGAACGATGAACACAGAGCAGGTTTGTCAAGACTGAAAAGTCCAACGTGCAGACATCTGAGGCAGCAAATACATCGGCAAAACCGGCTGGCAGTTCCAGCATAAAATTCGTACGACAACGCCCAAAACTCAAGTTTTGGACACGAAACGAACCAGAAAACACGCATGCAAAATCAGCCTGAACACTCGAACAACAACGCAGCAAGAGCAAAAGGCGTCAAAAACTATAAAACTGCGCACTGCAGTGCAAAAACCGAGGCAAAGCTAAAAAGCTGCAGAAAAAGGGGGTGGGCGCGGCAGGCCAGCCACCTGGCATAAACAAGACTTGCCTATGGGCTTCAATGCTGGAGACCTATTACTGCTCCTGTCGCATGTTCGGCACGCCAGGACAAACCCATGAGAGGGTGTGGAAGCACATGAGCATACCATGAGCTCACGTGCGCACATCCCTTTTTGAAACTCTCAGCTTTGCTGAGCTTTGCTGCAGGTTATGACTTCTAAAGGTCATGCGTGATAATCACAAGACCTCAAGAAGCCTCATCCTGCGACGACTACGGAGATCGTACAGCCGAGCCTCGGGGTGGACTAGAAACACATGCCTGGCCTCTTAAGGTCTGGCTAAGAAAGAAGCTCAGAAGCCGCTGCAGGTGTCTTCCCCTGGCAGTTCACACATCTGATGCCCTTTCAGCTGCTCGGCCAGTTGCACGCATTTGGGGCTTGTCTGTATAAGTCTGTAAGCACGAACGGGACGCCCACATACACAAGAAAAAACAAAATCGACGAGAGGCACGCGAACACGCGCACACAACACGAACACACTGGCACAGAGAGAGAGAGAGAGAAAGA